CTTCCTTCCTTCCTTCCTTCCTTCCTTCCTTCCTTCCTTCCTTCCTTTTTCTCCTCTGCTAGGTAAGTGCTCTATCACTAAACTATACTGACAGCCTCATCCTTAGGACTTTTTAAATGAATGACTCTAATTGACATTTTCAAATTATTTGTGAAAATGAATTATTTCAGCACTAATGAATTACTTCTAATATTGTCACTTCTGGATAATCATTGAGGAGACATTTTAATTAGATATGGTGGAAATATTTCAAAATTACAAAATAAAGTATACATTTAAGTTTTTAAATTTACATGTTTGATCATTTGCAAAAGAATATATCTAGATACAATTGTTTATCCAAAAGCATTTGTCATGGCCTTCCTGTATTTTAAGTACTCACCTATGAACTTAGGCTATATCAGTGAACAAAATAAAAATGAATATAATCAGATTATTAGTGTCATTCAGACATTTTTAAAATCTGAATTTAAAAAATATTCTATACTATTTTATGGCATTTTTTCTCCCAACGACTTAAGGGGAATGTAGAGAAAAAAACAAGTAGAGCTGGTCGTCAAAAAATTTTGGAAAACATAGAAAATATATTTTGCTGAAATGTCCCAGCTTCTCAGATTGCACCACTGCTGCTAATACTTCTGAATAATGTAATTAATTGTGCACTAAATTTGCCTGCAGACTGCAAACCATCTTACACAAATTCTCTTAATTCTTACAATAACAATGTGGATGAAATTGTTTTATCTGTAGATGTGGAACTGTTGTTTATAAAGTTATTTTCTTTCCTCTAGATATAGGTAGTTTGTTAGTGATATGTTTTTCTCTTATGAAGAGTGCATGTGTCATTTTCATGATGTAGAGGCTTATTATAGATAAGCTGTCAGCTAACACAAAATGTTTTAATAGTAAATTGATTGATGTCAAAATAAATACATTTTTAGAGTGTTTATTTCATCATCAAAATTAGTATTTACTATTTGAAAATTATATGGTCATTGAAAATTCATGTAGAATCGTCAGTCTTTCTGGCAGTCTATTATAAACTGCAACTTCTGTTCAACATTTAGTTTGTGGAATTATGATAGATTTTTTAATATGCAAACCTCCAAGTAAGTGTTGCCTCATGATAATGATACTGATACAGCAAATGCATTTTTTTCTGTACTAAAATAAGTTATATTTTTACATCAACAGAGTAGTTTATTTACTTCTCAGATTTGCTTATAAACTAGGAAGTTATTTTTCTTTTACAGAAAGAAATGTGCCATTTTTCTAAGATTCTAATAATCATGCACAAATCTAGACATGACTTTTTAGTAAGTACTACCCCATTTTCAATCACAATACTTCAAAACATACATGCCCAATGGAGGTAGAAAATTGGACAGTTATGTATATAGAACAGTTGAATTGTACACAGTGTTTTCTTGCATAGTTTACCTACAGAAATATTCATTTAGATATTCAAATAACAGTCTGAGAAATGAAGTCATGGAAGTGAACTTACTGAACATATGATGTGTTTTTGTCTTTTCTCATCTAAAAAATATGGATAATACTACTGTGAGTTAGAATTTTGTGTATAAAAATTATACATTCTCTTTTCTTAGGCCCAAGATGAAATGTAGAAAAGTTAATCAAAACTTGAATAGGAAATGTCACCTTTTAAATTTCAAACTTAAAAATGTTGGCAAGCATTTGTAGAATTTTCAATGTTTTATATACAAATAGTAAGAATGCCAAAATAATTTGTAAACAATTATTTAATAAGAACTAGATTAGGAATTGGAGACTAATTCATGTACTAGAATAGTCCTAAAACTGTGTCTGCCCATAGGCATTAAATTTTTATAATACTCGACTATTTTTTTTCCATCCAAAGCAAGATACGGCAGTGCAGATGATCTCTAAAGTTCACTCCAGTATTAAACATTCTGAATTCAAGGGCTAAGAGGGCAACTTACAGTCATGCAAGCCCTGAGGTCCTTATTTTAGTTTTCTGCTGTCCTATTCAATGTTTATTGTCAACACTGATGCTCCTATGTCTACAATGTTTTTTTTTATTATTATTATTTTGTTTTTGTTTTTTTGAAATTTTGTTTTTATTTGCATTTTGGATAATGAGGAGGTAAGTGGGAAGGAAGGACAAGTCCTTTGCCTTCAAGAGCATGCTCTGGAGGTTGCACCTCGACACTTCTTTCTGCACCCTCTACAACTTAGTGACCATCTAATAGCAAGAGGATGTAGGCGATAATTTTCCCCCACTTGGATGGGCATGGATACCCAAGTAAAATATAGAGGTTTGTTACTTAAGGGAGAAGGGGTGCGGGTGGTAGTGATTGGAAGATACTTACCAGTTTCTGTACATACCTTCAATTTGCTTTTCCTGAGATATTTAAGCTAATGCTAACACTTCACTCACTCATCTAAATGACTTTTGTCATTTAAACATATTAAAATCTTTAATTAGAGAAAAAATTCTCTTACCTTAAAATAGATTTTATACATTTTCTAATTTCTCCCACTTCATGTTTTGATCACTATGATCAAACTGTTTTCTGAAATTTATTTATTTTACAGTGAAAAGTATTTAAATTTCATAAGGAAATGTTGCACTTGATATTCTACTTCAGGATTTTCTGTGTTTACAATTATTTTCAAAGGTTATTACTTATCTGAAGAAGTGGGACTTACATGAATGATGAAGTTGATTTGTTCTCACCAAAACTTTTGCCATATAGGCAAGTTTAATTGGCTGCTCTAATCCTAGATTTGTATGTGTATTGTTTGATGTTTTTATATTTCAGGTGTTCACAAATCATAATGCCATCACATAGGTTTAGTTTGATTTTGGCTCATCATCCCTGTTCTTCATCCTGGGTTTTCTGCTTATGTATTTAGTTGTGTACTTTTATTTTTCCCGATTATATAATGTTATATCCTTTATTAAAAATTGGTGATTCAAGAGTGTATAATGTGAATGTATCATCTCATAAATGAAAATCTAACATCTAACTAAGCAATGGAACTAATTGGAATACTAAATATTGAGACAATATTGTCAATTAGTAAATTTGACCTTAGTATAGTTCAGTGGTGATATAAGTATCAGAGAACAAAATTTTATTTAAAATGTTATGCCACCTGAAGTAGACTAAAAGATTATAAATCCTGAAGTTTTTTTATTTTTGTATTTTGTTTTTACTGTTTTACTTTCCCCAAGAATTTTGCATTAGCAGAATCTAATTTATTTTACAACTCCCATGACTAGGAGAATATCTATCATTGTCTCCATACCTTTACATAAAGCATTTCCTTTCCTTCTCTAAGACCATCATCCAAGTTTAGACCCTGTTCTCAAATATGTATATTTGAGTTAGCGAAATAATCTAATATTTCTACTTTTTATATCTTTAATTGCATAATTATTATTAATATGTAAATATACCTAAACATTATATTTATAATCCTTCCGTTGTCTAGAACTTAAAATAATTTATTTCTGACTTTGTATGGTATTTAAGACCCTGAAAAAAGTTCACTAGAAACTTTCCTAAGCAGATCCAACTTTTGGTGCAGAAATGGTTTTTTATGCTTGGAGGCACAATTGATCTTTGTAAGTTATTCCCTTGTGATCTCTCTGTACCAATTAAGTTTCCTGAGGGCATTTCTTGTGTATTCACAGCAGCTGACATAGCTCTTATACTGTCTAACACATGGTAGCCACCCAGTAAAGTTTTATTTCTCAACAAATCAGTGAGTTGAAGTTGAAGTTTGAATTTGCATGTTGTGAAATAGCTTAAGAATATCTTCTCTCCTGCAGACCTTGTTTTGTTTTAAGTATTGATTTTCATTACCACCACCAACCTCAGCCCAGACCTGTGAGGGGCTCTGCAGTTTAGAGGATTGGAATTTAAACATACACTTTGAAGAAAATACTTGCCCTTAATGAATGACAATTGTTGGCCAAGAACTGTATCAAATGTTTTATATCATTCTTTGATTTCTAGTTATAGTATGAAAAGGCAAGCAGCAAGGATGAATGCTTGGGGAAAAAAAAAAAAAAAAAAAAACCTCAAACCAAAACAACCAAGGGTATCATCTGTCCCTTTCCCAGTCCTGAATTAGGTAGCTGTTTCTTCATTTTAGACTAATAAAACAGGAAATATTCAAGGGGTGGAATACACAAAAGATTTAGTAAACTAGAAATGGCATATGTAGCATTAAAGACACAGAGCCAAGGGCTGGGGTTGTTGCTCAGTGGTAGAGAGCTTGCCTAACATGTGTGAGGCACTGGGTTTGATTCTCAGTGCCGCATATAAATAAAATGAATAAAATAAAAGTCCAACAACATCTAAAAAAATTTTTTTTAAAAAAAGCATTAAAAAAAGACACAGAGCCATGATAGTCTC